AATTCACCCAAAAATCTGAAAAACAACATGAAACCACCAGAACCCAGCGACCTCACAACATGTGGACATGAACACCTTAATCAAGAAGAAGTAGAAAAAATTGATTTTATGAAAGTGATTGACGCCCTTAAACAGCATGTAAATAATGCCCTTAAAAGAAATGGATGAGAAGTTTGAAGAATTGAATAAATCAGTGAATGATACCCTTGGAAACCAAGGAAAAACAATCAAACAGATAATGGAAACAGTTCAAGACTTGAAAACTGAAATGGAGGCAAAGACAAAAACACAAACAGAGGACTAGCTGGACATGGAAAATCTAGGTAGACGAATAGAGACTACAGAAACAAGTATAACCAACAGACTACAAGAGATAGAAAAAAGAATCTCAGATTCTGAAGATACCATAGAGAAAATAAACACACTGATCAAAGAAAACAGCAAGTCCAAGAAACTCTCATCACAAAACATTCAGAAAATATGGGACACAATAAAAAGACCAAACTGAAGAATTATAGGAGTAGAAGAAGGAGAAGAAGTGCAGCTCAACAGTCCAGAAAATATATTTAATAAAATTATAGAAGAAAACTTTTCCAACCTAAAGAAAGATATACGTATGAAGATTCAAGAAGCATACAGAACACCGAATAGGCAGGATCAAAAACAAAAAAAAAAAAAATCCCCTCACCATATAATAATCAAAACACAAAGCATACAGAATAAAGAAAGAATATTAAGAGCTGCAAAGGAAAAAGTCCAAGTTACTTATAAAGGTAAACCTATCAGACTTACACCTGACTTCTCTATGGAAACCATGAAAACCAGAAGGTACTGCAGAAACTAAGAGACCATGGATGCAAGCCCAGACTTCTATACCCAGCCAAGCTTTCGTTCACTATAAATGGAGAAAACAAAATTTTCCAGTATAAAAACAAATTTAAACAATACATAGCCACAAATCCAGCCTTACAGAAAGTAATAGAAGGAAAATCACTAACCAAGGAGTCCAACAATGACCACAATAACTCAAACATCTAGAGACCCTTCACCAGCGCAACTCAAAGGAGGGAAACACACAAACTCTACTACTAAAAAAGTGACCGGAGTTAACAACCACTGGTCATTAATATCACTTAATGTCAATGGACTCAACTCACCTATAAAAAAAGCACAGGCTAAGAGATTGGATACGAAAACAGAATCCAACATTCTGCTGTTTACAAGAAACACACCTCAACCACAAAGACAGGCACCTACTCAGAGTAAAGGGCTGGGGAAAGGCTTAACAAGCAAATGGACCTAAGAAACAAGCAGGTGTGGCCATACTAATTTCTAACTAAGTTGACTTCAAACTTAAATCAATCAGAAAAGATGGAGAGGGACA